TGAAACCAAAGTAATCTCCCTAAAACTGGCAAATGCCAACGAATTACGCATAGCTAACATATATCACAGGGTTACCCATGAAACGAACATGGAAGAGCTAACAAGACTAGCTCAAATAGTAGGCAAAAATTGGATAATCCTTGGTGACTTTAATGCCCACAGCCCTCTTTGGGAAGACAGGAATGATTCATGCAAATACGGCAAAATGGTAGAGAAATGGGTTGAGGACGACAATCTCATAACTCTGAACAACGGCAGTCACACACGTTATGACCAAGTCCACAACACGTGGAGTTCAATTGATCTCACAATTGCCACCAAAAACCTCGCCTCACATTGCCAATGGCAAGTCCATGACGACACTTGGGGAAGCGATCACCTTCCTATACTCACCTACATAGGTAGCCCACCACAATTAGAGGAACAGCCCAATCCTCAGCCCACATGGGACTATGCAAAGGCTGACTGGCCTAAATTCAGGAAGGAATGTGTATCATTCAAGTCCTCAGAAATGGCCTCGGATGATCCTGATCTTTTTTGCCAAAATCTCACCTCAGCAATTATTGCCGCAGCTGAAAAATCAATTCCAAAAAAAAGACCACAAAACTGGCAAAACGCCGGTACCATGGTGGAACAGGGAAATAGCAAAAGCTAGGAGAGTGAGAAAGAAAGCCCTAAATAGGTCAAAAAGGGATAAATCAGCCTTTGCCCAAGTCCGAGCAGCCAGGACGAAAGTAAGACAACTCATAGACGATTCTAAAAAAGAGTCATGGCAGACCTTCTGCAAATCCCTTAATGAGAAAACAAATGTTAAAACAGTCTGGAGCAAAATACACGCAATCAGGGGTAAGCGTAAACCCACAAAAATTCCCAAGTTAGCCAACGCCCATACAGTCAAAGAAAAGGCCAACATTCTAGCTGAGCACTTCTCATCTGTCAGCAGCAACACAAATTGCAGCGAAGAATTCAAACAGGCAAAAATGCTTATGCCTAAGATCTCAAAACGGCCGCAAAGCAAGCATCTGGTATACAATATACCATTCACTGTGACAGAGTTTGATGATGCGATACAACATAGAAAAGGCACAGCACCTGGTCTTGACACAACCAGCTACGAGATATTGAAAAACCTACCTGATCAAACCAAAGGCTTACTCACTGAGTTGTATAACACGATATGGTCCAAAGGAGAAGTCCCAAAAGCATGGAAACATGCTGCGGTTATCCCGCTGCTAAAGCAAGGGAAAGACGAAGCCCTACCAAACTCTTATCGACCGATCTCACTCACCTCAAACATGTGCAAAGCCATGGAAGCCATGGTTACAAAAAGGCTCATGCATCATCTTGAAACTGGCAACCACATAAAACCTGACCAAAGTGGCTTCAGGAAGGGACACTCGTGTCTAGATCATATTCTAAGACTGGAAAATGAAATAAAAAAAGCCCAATTAAACAGACAATACCTAGCCGCAGTATTTCTGGACTTCAGCAAAGCCTTTGACATGGTATGGCATGACGGACTCCTCTCAAAACTATCACAAAATGGAGTTGAAGGGAACATGGCAACCTTCATAGACAGCTTCCTGCAAGACAGGTCGCTTTCAGTTAAAATAGGGAACAATCGATCGGATCCTATGGCACTGGACAATGGCACGCCACAAGGCAGCATTATAAGCCCAACCCTGTTTAATATCATGATCAATGATCTTTTTGACCATGTCAACTCTCCTACCCAAACTTCTAAGTTCGCTGATGACGGAGCAATATGGGTAAAGCACAGAGATATCTCACAAATCAGAAAAAAACTCCAGTCAGCCATGGACGGAGTAGATCAATGGTGCAATAAATGGGGATTCACCCTTTCAAGTGAAAAAACTGTTGGAGTTCTATTCAAACGCCGGGGGAAAGATGCTATGATACCCCGTGTCTCCATAAAAGGCAAACCTATCAAATTCGAAAAATCTGCAATATTTCTTGGAGTTATCCTTGATCAACACCTCACTTGGCGCAAGCATATAGAATATGTGGAAAACAGATGTCAAAAAGACCTGAACGTATTACGGGCAATTTCAGGCACATCTTGGGGCACATCGAGGGACACTCAGCTGGACCTCTACAAAGCTCTTATCAGATCAAATATTGACTATGGTTGTGAGTCTTTTCACTCAGCATCAAATACTGTCTTGAGGCGACTAGACAGAATACAATACAAAGCCCTAATACTGGCCACAGGCGCAGCGACAGGCACCTCACTAGAAGCACTACAAGTAGAGACGGGAGAACTCCCATTGAAACTAAGACGAGAGCAGGCAATATTATCGTTCTGGGGACGAACATCAAACCCTTTGGTTAAAAAGATATGGCAAGACAAAAACGCTCGAGATGAGGCCCTAGCTCGAAAAAATCCCTCACTAAAGCCATCTGGGATATTAGTACATGAACTCATTCGAAGTCACAATTGCGATGACATTCAGCCTCCAGAAAGTCACTACAAAGGGTTACACCCTCCCTGGACTTTACAAACTCCCAAAGTTGACACTGCTTTAATATCAGAAGTCACTAAAAGAGAAAACCCAACCCTACTACGATCAGTAGCTATCACTAAAATTCAAACTACCTGGGACAGCTGGGCCCATATATACACTGATGGATCCAAGAATCCTATCAACAACAGTGCTGGTTACGGGATCCATATCCACAGCTCCAAACCCCAAGCACATTCAGTTCGCTTGCCCGATGGTCAGTCAGTATTCACGGCTGAATTGGAGGCAATTCATCATGCACTCAAACTCATACCGGAACTCCCGGAAGCAAAGGCAGTCGTCCTATCAGACTCGCTAACTGCACTTCAGGCCATCAGTGGAAGAAACTCAAACTCCAGGCCAAACACAGTCAACAATATTCTATACAAATATACAAAACTATCGGACCAAGGGCAACAGGTGGAGCTGTGTTGGATCTCCTCTCACATAGATATTCATGGAAATGAAAAAGCAGACTCACTGGCGAAGCTAGCTCTAGACAAAGCGGATATACAGCCTATTCCCTTTAGTAAACTAGAGATAAAAAGCAAAATCAAAGCCTCCATAGCAAAAAGATGGCAAACCCAATGGGACGCAAGTAAGATCGGCAGATGGCTATACAAAATTCAACCCAAGGTCCAACAAAAGCCAAACTAATACTCAAATGAAAGGAAAATTGAAACTGCTATCTCACGCCTCAGACTTGGTCACAAAAAGCACTATGACAAGGTTTGTTCATCTTGCAATCAGGCTGAAACCATTGACCACCTGTTACTAGAATGTCAAGACCATGCCCCAGCCCGGGCTAGGTTAAAACAAGAATTGCAGTTAGATCCGCTATCTGTCATAGATCTCCTAAAGCCAAGAGATGCAATAGCGAAGGCCAAACTAACTCTATTTCTGAGAGATGGACAGCTGCTCGAACGTATATAAACAGAGCAGCCAAGGATAAAAATGAAATCATATCAATATAAGAAAATAGAAATCATATCAATGCAAAAACAGAAATTATGTGAACACCGAACTCACAATAGATATGTGAACCCTTCTCACACACAGGAGTCCCAAAGAGGGACAGGTCAGCCGAAATTGCCTAGGCAGAAGGCGACCTCTTAAACACCTAATGCAACAACAACAACTTTGTCTTTCTTGTTAATTCTATTGTCATGGCGTAATTCTCTCAAAATCTCTCACGAATCCATCACTGAATACGCCATCCAGTATTATTCTTCACCGGAGAAACTTCCCATTGTGTTGACAATGTCGGATCCAAAGAGGAAACGTGTTGCACACACAAGGAAATCCGGGCGGACCAAAAGCGTTAATCTACCTTCCACAACATCCGATGTAAACAACCAAGATGGCGGACCACCCCCTCGTACATCTCGCCAGTCTCACGCCACCAACCCACCGTATCTGACAGCCACAGACCTCAGAAACAGACTGGAACAACTGGGGATGAAAGTTCCAGCTGCGTCGTCTAGGAAATTCTTGCTACAACTGTACAAGGAAAACGTAGCAAGTGGCTGGCTGATAGACGACCCCAGTGACAACAACAGGCCAACTAGGAACGACAGTCCGCAGACACAATCAGCAATCCAGACTCCAGACGACTTAGCCAGAGAATGCACGACAGGAGAAACGTTCAACCCTCCAACCACTCTCCTACCCAGAGTTCCATGCGGCTGGCAGCCAGCCAGCATAGTACCTCTGCCACAGGCCAGCGCCATGTGACGATTCGTCACATCTTTCACAGTCCATTCAAGATATTGCATATGCTTTTCATCCGTTTCATGTTTGACAAGTCTACAGATTTTCATAAACAAATGTCAAAGAACGGTTACGGTTCATTTAGAAAGTATCCTAAAACGTGAAAATCTACTTGTTTCTGCGTAGTTATCCTTTGTTTACATTGGTTGTACGGCTCCACGTGCTGTCATCGAAGCCCAACGGAGAGCTAGCGAAACGGTCACTTTGATGTGTAAACATAAATTGTCATGCAACAAACTGTCGCAGCTGTAGTAGCATACTTATATAATTATGCAAAACAATATGTAAAGCGACCCCAAATACTTGCATTAGTCCATTCTATACTGATTTCTGAAATGCGCGTTTGTTTACAAACAAGAGAAATGTCCGGTCACGTGATATGCAAATTAGCCTGTGGCAGTGGTGTTATGCTGAGTCACCACTGCGCCGGAGTGTGCCCTCCAACTACACTTGGCAGTGTTAACGACAATCTGCATTCCATCTCTGACCTGCGCAGTAACCAGACGGAAGTTCCGGTATCCAACATGGCGGATAGAAACCTGAGAGACGAGGTCAGAGAGTTGAAGGAACTTATCTGTGCCATGCGCCAAGAGCATGTAAACAGAGCCCCACACCAGATGCGTCAAGCGGTGCCTTCAGACAGCCTGCCCCCGATAGACACAGTGCCAGAAGCGATCAAGGACAAGATCAAAGGCGGTAAATATGTGAATTTAGCTCTCCTATTACAAGATATAGACTACGGCGAAAAGGGATTAAGTCAAGATAGCCCAAATGGCAACTTATCAAGAACCCTGTTGTTACCAGATTTCATTGTGGCTTTCACCACATTCAAGAACATCTATTGTGAAAACACTGATGTCTCAGGCGCCATTTGGACGCTCACGAAAGGACAGTAATAAATCTAGCACAACAATTCCCAGGAAAGAGCAACCACCACGATTACCATAAACTGTTTGCTTCTCGTGTGGCCTCCTATGCTGAGAAAGGCCAACCCATCAGGTGGGATATGCCTGATCAAAGAATTCTCACTAGGTGCTCTACAAGAACCTCTAAGTCTTGTCATATCTGCCATTGTGTGACACATGATAGTGACCATTGCCATGAGTTCAAACCACGGAGGTTCAACACACCAGTCTCCGACAGACCGCAAGGATATCGACAAGACAAGGCCGATATCAGGGGACTTCCCAAGGTCAGGTTCAACGGAAAAGAAATTTGCAACAATTTCAACGACCAGGGTTGCGCCAGAAGAAACTGTCTGTTTGAGCATGTCTGCTTAACATGCAAGGGGCCAAGCCACGGGAAAAACAATTGTAGCGACAAGATAAAGAAGGTTTGACTGGATACCACCCCTAATGAATCCGCCATACCCATGGAAACAGTGCCCACATCATCTTCACTCACTCCTATTAACCACGCCCAGTTACAACTCGAACTGGCTCTTCATCAGGATATCCAGTTCACCAACTATTTGATCAATGGTCTAAGATACGGTTTCAACCCTTTAATTCATCCACTACCCACAACTTCCATAGAGTGCAACAACAATTACACTGCTAGAAAAGACCAGGCTGCAGTGTCACTTCTCGTCAAATCGGAAGTTACAAAGGATTATGTTGCAGGTCCATTTTCGACAGTGCCATATGCTGTATACAGGGTGAGCCCCCTCGGGTTGGCCATTGGTAAATACAGCCAGAAGAAAAGACTGATTCTAGACCTATCAGCCCCCCACGACAAACCAGAAATACTAAGCATCAACGAACTCTTCGACAAAGATCAGTGTTCTCTTTCTTACGTGACAATTGACTATGCTATCGCTATCATCGCTAATCAAGGGCGTGGCGCCAAACTGTGTAAACTTGACATTTCGGACGCTTTCAAACAGGTCCCAATAGCAAATGCATTTATACCTTTCTTTGGATTCAAGTGGCAACAGCAGTACTACTTTTACAAACGGCTGGTCTTCGGATGTCGTTCAAGCCCAAAATTGTTTGACACTCTGTCAGAAGATTTATGCTGGATACTGCATCATAACTATGGCATTCAACACATTCTCCATCTCCTGGATGATTTCCTCACTATAGACTCCCCTGAAGCCGATGCCCAACAAACCATGACGAACCTGCCTAAACTGTTCCAAGAGATGTGCATCCCAATAGCCGAGCACAAGACAATGGGACCTGCCACAACCTTGGAATACCTGGGCATTAATCTGGATACCAACACCATGACAGCTAGCCTACCACAAGATAAGCTGGACAGGATATCAGCCTTACTTCACGAGTTCTCCCAGAAGAAAAAATGTACAAAGAGAGAACTCTTATCTTTATTGGGACACTTAAGCTATGCCTGTAAGGTCATCATTCCCGGCAGATCTTTCATTTCTCACCTGTTGGATATAGCCAAATCAGTGAAGAAACTGCATCACCAGCGTCTACAGCGTGCCAACAAGATCTCCACATGTGGCATATCTTTCTACAACAGTGGAATGGCGTGTCCCTATTCCATGATGCTTACGCTACCTCCAATCAGGACATGGACTTGTTTACCGATGCCTCTACTTCGTTCGGATTCGGCGGATACTTTCAAGGAGCGTGGTTCTCAGAGAAGTGGCCAGACAACATACTCACAGAATTAAGCGTTGAACATTCTCTCGCCTTCCTCGAACTGTATCCCATCGTAATAGCATCTGTACTTTGGGGACATAGTTGGACTCGGTTAAGAGTATTATTCCATTGCGACAACCAAGCCACTGTACACATCATTCGCAAAGGGAGATCTAAATGCCAAAAAGTCATGTCTCTTATGCGTACCCTTACATGGACGGCAGCAAAAAACAATTTCATAGTATTAGCTAAGCACATCCCTGGGGCGCACAATACTTTAGCTGATGCTCTTTCTCGTTCACAGCTGGACCTGTTCCGCTCCCTAGCCCCGGCAGCCCAGATCGAACCCATACAGTGCCCTCCAGACAAGGCACCTGGACACATTATGGTCAGCAGCCCTTGCCCCGCGGACAAAGGATACCTATGCTACCGGTGTTCAGTGCTACATCAACTTCATGATTAATGTGAATTTGCTCTCTAGGACATGTCCAGGACTCCCACGCTACACGAAACATAAGTTCAGTTTTTCCTCGCCCACTGCTTCGGCAAGCTCAAGCTATCCTATACTACTGTTAAAACTTACCTGGCGGGCATCAGATATACTTACCTACAAGCAGGAATACCTACACTCTTCGACTCTACCAACTCGGGCGCCAACGCACGTATTCAAACTCTTCTGCGTGGATACAAGAAACTACAAGTCCCACCAAAAAGCAAGAGACTACCCATCACTTACAATATTCTGTGTCAAATTATCACTCTGCTCAAGAACGGCGTTCTGGGTCCTTTTAATGACTTTATCATGATTACTATGTGTACCGTTGCCTTCTTCGGCTTCCTCAGGTGTGGCGAGTTCACCTGTTCAGTCAGTTTTGATGCAGATGTCAATTTATGTGTCCAAGATGTCATCTGCGATTATAACAGAAACAGATGTATCCTCACATTGAAAACTTCAAAAACTAACCCTTTCCGACTAGGAGTGGCCATCTCCCTGTTTGCCACAAACAAGCCAGCTTGTCTGGTTCGAAGCCTCTCACAACTGATCCTCATAAGACGCAAGTGCGGGGCTCAGGCCCACGATCCCCTCTTCCTGGACAGCTGTTTCCATGCTAGTACGAGGACTACATTTCTAAGATGGCTCAACGTTATCATGTGTCGGATAGGCTTGAGCTCCAAATCTTATTCAGGACATTCATTCAGGATTGGCGCAGCTACCACGGCTGCACAAGTGAGAATGGAGGACCATCTCATCAAAACCCTGGGAAGGTGGAGTTCAATCTGCTTCACCAGGTACATTCGAACCCCGGAAGATACCTTGAGACAAGCACAGATCTCCTTGTGTAACGTATAATGTTTAACCAACAGAGTGCAATCTGCATAGTAACTTACCCCATCTTATGTGACGTTCAGGCTCGTGACTCCAGTGCAGTGTGACTTGTGCTATTTATGATGCAATCTGTGACTCTGTGGTGCGCAACTCAATCATATTGTATCTCGTACAATGTGACATAAACTGTACTCTTGTGTAATAGTGGTGCTGGAGGGACTACAGACTCAGATAGTAGCCATGCCGTGCACGTGAGTACTGCCACATACTGTGCCGTGTCCAAATGTGCATTCTGACTTTGACACTTGGTTTTAACTGTGATTCGATGCTATCATTGAACTTCGCATGGAGCCAGTGACTGTGGTTACAATGTACTCAGTGTGAAGACTCCTGTCCTGGTTCACATGTACTGCCTTATTTAGGTCAAGGATGCCATACCATTGTCATTTGGTAGCCAACGGCGTTTAGTTCAAGCGTACTTAGGTGTAACATGCATCACTGCCACTAGAATGTTGGTAACTTTCACATTTTTACGTTTTTTCTCCTTACATCTTACATATATATCCCTACTATTCATTGGGGGCTCTCGGTTGCCAACCTCCTTTGGGCCTTCAGCTCATTCAGTGCTTTTAATCGCCAGTACAAAATGAGCTGACTAGCCCCCAATTCATACGGCGGCAGGACACTAGCTACATGGGCTTCCCGATCTTACACCAGGAACCGTCCATAGGGATGTCCGGGTCCACGACCCCAGGGCAACTAATCCCACCATTAGGTCCTCGCCTTCCTAACCACGGGTCCACGACCTACAGGTTACTTCCCTTTGCCTTCTAACCGCGGGTCCACGACCTACAGGTTATCCTTCACCTCTAGGTTCTACTACACCAAATCAGTACCAGTTTGGAGAGTGCGGTTTTTGTAGGGAGCCTTCAGTGCAGATCGAGAGATATCTGCAGGCTGTGATTGGAGGATATTCTGTAAGATTTTTATGTCTTTCAAATGTACATCCATCCAGTTATTAAAACTGACCATGTTTTTCTATATTTAGTACTGTCTTTTTCAACATGATGACTTATGCTGAATGTGACCACAGCTATTTTCAAGTAGGTGACATTTGGTGCGAAACTGGGGGTGGTGTGTTTAGCTTCCGGTACTCGGAAAAGGAGCTGACTAAGCTAGTCATTTTTATTTTTTTTATTGCTGCTCTAAGGCCAAACTGTGCACACACGTACAGGTAATAGCTGTTGAATGCTTAGTTATTTAAAAAAAAATCATAACGTTACTATAAAAGTCTCTGGGAAAACATTTGGTTGTGTGTAACCTGTAGGGTGAGTGCACATTTCAGTAATTCATACTTTACATGCTTTTCTGTTTATATTTCACCATGGATACACCATGGAGGCAAATTTAAAAATAATGACAGTGAAGTTGGGGACATTTTGGGTTGAATGGAGCATTTGGATGGGCTGGAAATGAATGTTGCTTCGTATTGTGGTCGAACTCAGCACGAACCCCCCAGGGTACCTCTGTCCAACAAACCCTCCTCCTGCCTTCTGAATTTGTTGAAACTGATTAATTTGACAACAAATTAGGATAAAGTCACCACTGCCACAACAAGTTCTGCCTTGTGTCAATCGCTTGCCAGTCAAGTTACGCGATGCCGTTATCTTGAATATGAAGCATGTACACTGCTGACAGCAGAATATGTCAAACATCCCCTTATTTATAGTAAACAATGTAGCATACCAATATGTCTTTCTGTTAGGTGCTCTTGTGTGAATGAATGATGCTATTTTTCTATTAAGTTTCTTAAAACAGACTTATTTTTCACTCATATAACTTTCAAATAATTATTTTGTCCCCTCAAGAACTGACTCCTGGCTGTTATATCCAAACTGGTTTGCCATTTGATATTGTCTGAACACTTTTTTCAGCTTTTCACATGCCTGATGTTGACTGGGGAGGTATATGTGCACTCACGCAGAAGAAGTAGGAGTTTCGACATCGAATTTGGCATTTTGAGAAGCTGATCCGAAGTCCGGTGTTGGCAGTGTGTGAACGACAACCCTTGTTTTGCCTCGCTGCGCTTTATTACCTTGTAGAAGTTGTGGAACTTGGACATGTAGGTACAGTAAGTACATTTAAGAACCCCAGTCCACTTGAGGCCCCTCTGTTGCTCACTATCAAGTGCCATAATAAGATCACCCTCATGCACTAGACATTTCTGACAGTGCTCCCTTAATGCCTCACTGTGCAGTTTTTTAGTTTGCAAACATGAAGTAAGGGCTATACACCAGTCCCAGAACCTGCTTAGATGAAAATAATATCCACTGGCTCTTTTGGAATGTAACATTATGGTTCTGAAATCATCTGTAAAGAATGTGATAGTGTTCGACAAAACTAAATTATCTCCCCTGTTTAGTAAAATGCATTGTATCTTTCATTCCCCTATAAACCCATAAATTATTGGAGAGAAACACTATTTTAAGCTGGTATTGCATGACACTGTTAATTGTGAATAAAAAGAATTACATTTATGTCAGGATAAGCTGTACATTTTCAAAATTATATGGAATTTTAACTTTGTTTCATTGAAACTGGCAAATAACTGAAATAAGCAAGTTTAGCCACCTTGAAACATTAAACAGTAAGAATGTTTGATGTCCTGTGAGTATTTTAAAGTCTTAACTAAATAAATCAATAGAGTTAAGTGTAATTTCCTTCCATGTTGTGGTTTCAAAAAGCTTTTTTCTACTTGAGGGTCCATTTCAATTTCTCGGCTTTAATAGGCGGTATGGTTCACTGGTCAGTGTTTGAGATTGCTGTTAACAATGCACCCCTTTACTTCCTATTTTCTGGTAAAGTTCATTATCCAGCCTTACATATATGATGACTTTAAAGCTGCTTAATGTGTCCCTTGCTTATTGTTGGCCTGAATTCCATGCTCTCTGTCCAATTTTGAGATTTTTTTCTGATTCCTTTCCATGTGTACTTATGTCATCAGCCTATATCATAGAGGATTATACTTTTGATTTTTGGAGTATATGAAAGCACTAACATTTGTGATAGCCCCTCCATAGATGATTTACCAAATGCTGACAGCCATTTGAGTGTTTAATTATATAAACAATGGATGGTGTAAGTTCGAGCAATCTCAAACAATATCAATCGCATCATGTCATGAGTGTCAAAACCATATTCCATGAATGTAGCAGACTCTGCTATGTTCTGATGATGTCAGCAAAGGAAGGCAAACAACAGACCACTACTCAATTTTAAATATGTATTGTAACTGGTTTTGAGGTTTAAAAATTTGTTCAATTTTTTTGGTCGAAAAAATATTTTAGGGTGATATGATCTATGCAGCCTCAATCATTTATAGAATTGACCCCTGACCACCATCTTTTATGAAATATACATGAACTTCCATGGTCAGTGCATGAAGGTAAAAACTTCTTTATTAATACAGAAATACCTTTTGTAAAACATTGATGAAGTGTACATCATTAAACTCTCACAACTCTTTCTGTGCATCAAAACTATGTATTCTGGTGCCATATAGACATGCTGGATAGGAACAAGTAGTGAAGTTTAATCCAATTTCCATTTTTTTTCTGAGAAGCTACATATATATACAATATATAAATCACAGATTTGACAAGTGCAAATATATTCTGATTTGTCTACAGGTTCTACTACACCAAATCAGTACCAGTTTGGAGAGTGCGGTTTTCGTAGGGAGCCTTCAGTGCAGATCGAGAGATATCTGCAGGCTGTGATTGGAGGATATTCTGTAAGATTTTTATGTCTTTCAAATGTACATCCATATTAAAGCTGACCATGTTTTTCTATATTTAGTAATGTCTTTTTCAACATGATGACTTATGCTGAATGTGACCACAGCTATTTTCAAGTAGGTGACATTTGGTGCGAAACTGGGGGTTGTGTGTTTAGCTTCCGGTACTCGTAAAAAAGGAGCTGACTAAGCTAGTCATTTTTATTTTTTTTATTGCTGCTCTAAGGCCAAACTGTGCACACACGTACAGGTAATAGCTGTTGAATGCTTAGTTATTTAAAAAAAAATCATAACGTTACTATAGAAGTCTATGGGAAAACATTTGGTTGTGTGTAACCTGTAACATACCCAGGGTTGGCGACCCTCCGGCAACCGAATTGCCCCCTCAATTCTCCAAAGATGTTGTAAATAAACATATTTGTACCTACATCATGTTTTGTTGTTTCTGCACAAACCCACTATTAGTACCAATGATATAAAAACAATAATTGATTACAAGTCCCATATAGATAACACAACAAATGTTATTCTTAAACATGCTTTGGCAGCAAATATCAATATTTCTGGTCAAAATTATGGTTGAGTTAAATAAAACAAACTTTTTAAATAGTAAACACAAATAAATGTAATGAATCCACTGTAAATTAAACTTCAGTCCAAATGTAAAAATATGTTCACGCATTCAATAAGGGATTCCCATTTATCTAACAGCAAGTTAAGAACATACAGGTTGGTCAAGTCATCTATAAATATTGAGAATTATCTTACATATTGTAAAAACAAAGGTCATAGGTCGCATTTCTCAAAACGTCGTTTAAGTAATCACAAACTAAAAATTGAAACTGGTAGATATACAAAAAACACCAACCCAATTGGAACAACGTCTCAGTGAAACGTGATGTATCAGAAGATGATTAACAGTATGCACTGTCTTGTATAAAATACAACCAAGAAAGAAAATCACAAATAATCCTCAATCATGATAAAGAATTTGGTACACTCTGTTAAGAGGAACTGTTCTTAATAATTTTACCAAGTTATCCAGAAACAATTTTCACGATCTGTTATCAAATCAACAATTACAAACAAATTCCTTGCATGTACAACATTACCATAGTTTTGCTCAATTCTCATATTTCCATATCATTATATATAATACACTTGTTTTAAAATAGAATTGGTAAAATGTACCTCCTTTTTATGTTGATTGTACCTGTGTGTTTTAATTGTCACTTATTGTGCATATATTTTGTCGTTTGTGATAATTTAATATTGCCACTGTATGGAATGACGATACATTTGTATGTATGATAGTTTCTTACAGTTGTGTACGGCGGCACGGTTGGCCCAATCGCCTAAGGCGCTGCAATTCGCTATGCAGACTTGTGTTCCTTTGGCACACCAGAAACCTATAGCAGTGAATCTCCGTTCGCCCAGATTTTGTTGTCAGCACAAAACCCGCGCTCGTGGGTTTCACCAAAGTGGTGGTCTGTTTTGCCCTTAAACATACAATGGTCTTAAGTCTACAATATTCATGAGTGGGCGGAGCCTATGTGACCATGTCACACTTGTTTCGTACGCACTGCATCTCACCTGAACATGGAAGTGCATCGGACTTCTGCCGAGTTGTGACAGCACACAGCGTATATGCCGGTGTCACGAAATATATTCGCCCCCAGAATAAAATCTCTCCAGAATATTTCCTCCCCCGGTCGTTTTATAAATACTTGCCATGCAGTTCAATAGTTGAGGGTATTGCCTAAAAGTCGGGACGGGCCAAAGTGTTATTGACTAATTACTTCATTATCGGCGATCATACCTACATATTATTGATGCAACATACACACATGACATTACTGAACAATAACCAACCTAAAACGTGCACCATAATTAAGTACTTCGGAGTAAATCACTTGAAAACCAGAAATTGGAGCTGTGTGTAAGCGTCTCTGATCTAGGTAACATGTAAAAGATCAATCGTTAAACGAAATAAGATTTGAAACGTATCAAATACTTCAAGCTATCGTGATACAAATTTCCATCCCTCGGCGTAGCATTTATATTTATAGGAACGTACTATATCTAAGTGAATACCACTTTATAATGTCATTGTTCATCGTATTTAAAGCAGACACGTTGGTTAAAGTAGACCTCTTCTCCCCATACTCTCAACAGTCTCACAAGTGTTCGGTCCGACTTGGCCCGGGCTGTCAAAATCAACTTAAACCTCACAGATGTAACATGAAATGGATTCACACCTATAGATTAGTATTTTATCTACCTAAATACATCTTTATAGTGTCTCAGTTCGCGGTATTTAAAGGAAACAAGGTGCTCAAAGTGAAGCCTTTTTCCCTCTACATTCTCAACATAATCTCTATCAGAAGTGTTTGGTTTGTGTTGGGTCCGACTTGGCCCAGTCTGTCAAAATCCACTTTAAACACACAGATGTATCATCAACCACGCGGTTCAAGATAATCGAGCACTGTTCGTTTTGTTTTTTTACAAGTACACTTTGCTTTGACGATGTCAGTTGATGTTGTTCAATACAGGCTGGCGGTGGGTGTTTTTGAATCTATTCTACATGCTAATCATTTCGGGAAGATGATACACATTTCTCTATATTTTGAGTTACTTTGCTTATATAATTTCCGATTATCATTCTTAGTTTTACTTTTTCTATTCTGCTGCGGTGATATACATCCGAATCCAGGACCTTATCCGTCCGGGGGAGATTTTATATCAGAACAGATTCTCCGGGGGAGAATCTGTACCGGTATAAAATCTCCGGGGGAGAATCTGTACCGGTATAAAATCTCCGGGGGGAGAATTTGTACGGGGGAGAGTTTATACCGGGACACCGGCGCTCCATTGTTTGCGGTACAATCCCTATAACCTAAACAACCTGTTACTTCTTTGTTAAATAAGCAAACGATCATATCAATGAATGCCTGTGAAATGAACAAAGCGAACTGTATATTACAAGGTGGTGTTGAAAGACTGTGTATTTTTTAGGCAAGAATGTTACGGTAGGACATGAAATCTCTTAGATTGTCACTTTTCTTTTTGTCATTAATTTTGGTCCTGAATATATTAAAAACAAAATAAAATCTAAGAGGTATATCATGGAACTGTTCTAGGTGAACAATACCTTCCAAATGACGTGCTGGTTTTCTTGGGGAATTAGTCAGCAAAGAGCCAGAGTCACAGGAGACTAATCACAATTTTATTTACAAGAACAATTAACAATTTACAATATACTTAGATAATAACTGAGGGTGCCACAGAGAGTCGGTACACACTCTGGGCTGTGGGAGAGAGGTCTGCTTGGTAAGAGAGTCAAACCCCTTCTCTCCTTTTTTTTCTCCTCTTCTCCCTCTCTGGACCAAGGCTTATATAGCCAAGGTCACCTGACATTTAGTAAGTAATAAATATAAATGTAAACAGTAAATCATCAGTGACATACTTGCACATCCTGTTCAGGATGGCAAATGTACACAAAACTGGGGATTAACAATTAGGATTAGCATCTTATAAATAACAGCAATTAAATGTTTCAAGGCATATAGATGTCATGGCTCCAGGGTAATGAGCCTTTGCAATCAAATGTTCTTCAGACAATGGGTGTCGTAAATCAGTCACCATGACAACTTTCCTCCGTTACGTGAAGCTTGGACCCCAAGCTTATATGAGTCCAAATTGATATGTGAGTTTTTTCACCAACGAAAACAACCATGCAAATGTGATCAAAATCAGTTATATGAAATCCTTATGCAACAAATATATCTATGCAATGACGGTATGAAAGTGATCATCTAGCCAATTTGATTTAGTGCCAGTTAGAAACTAACCAAGTAATCTTTGTAATGTGCAATTTCACTACAAGGTAATTACTGCTTTGCACAGATTCAATAAATATATCACTGAAGGTTCTTTGAATTCAGGAGTCTGGCTTGGCGGTGCGACTCAGTACCGAATAATGATAATGAGTAATGTCATAAAAAGTACAAATTAAACATCTCAGCAAATATTTCGCATAAAGAAATTTGAAACCAGGAGTCTAGCTTTACCGCGTGACTCAAACGGTACTTGTGGGTACTATTGCCCTTTTAAGTACAATGGGTGCTCTTCCCGTGTCTTTGACGGAGCTTGCCCAGATATTGTGGGTGCGATGCCCAAGAAAAAAAAATCCTTAATTCTGACATCAAAACTCTGAAATGCTGAATACTGCTGTGCTGTTAATTACTTAATACTGACATACAATAAACATATGTGTGGGGGTGGCTCACCCAAGAATATCCCTAATCTGAATTCAAAGTCCTAGACAATACATTCAATTTTGTACCAAACTGTGCACATTAAGAACTTGTAACAAATGACAAATTTTGTCGTTTAGATTTTTGAAATTACGAGTCGAGCTTTAAGGTGTGACTCGATAACCCTACAGCTTAGGTTTGTCTGGGCCCTAGCTGTATCTATATGTCTGGCGTGGCCTGGAGACATTTCAAAGATTCCCTACACAATAACTTCAAAGATCTAGCTTGACTTAAGATGTAATTTGGAGTATATTGCACACATACAAAACTGAATTTTAGAAAGACACATTTTGGCATTAATATACTGGCTTTGATTAAACATACCTGGTTGCACTATTCAACAGTCACACAATATATATCCTTGATTGAGTCCATGTAAGTAAACACAAATTAGTAAGTCCCAATGAGATATCTTGTACACAGTGTCCATCTTGTAGGTGCCCGTGAGGCGGTTTCTGTATTGTGCAGGGTCTGCATGAAGATGGCTGTGGACGGGTCTCTGTGGGATAGGCGTGTATACTTCTTTTCTTAGGTCATGTGCAGGAACGACATCTTGAAGGGGAAGTCTTAGCAGTGTTGCTAAGATATTCGAGCAGGGAAGGTTTGGGATCGGAGAACT